ATGGAGCTTCCTCCAAATCTACTGCCGGATGAGGCCAATCCCAACTCGATGAACAAAGGCGACGACGCATGGCAACTCACAGCGGCCACACTCGTCGGGCTTCAGAGCATGCCGGGGCTGGTTATCATCTACAGCGGCATGGTGAAGAAGAAATGGGCAATCAATTCAGCATTAATGGCTTTCTATGCATTTGCAGTAGTTCTAATCTGTTGGGTCGGGTGGGGTTTTCGCATGTCATTCGGCGAACAACTAGTCGATTTTTGGGGAAAACCTGCGGTGGCTTTGGACCAGAAGTATCTTCTTGGACAGGCCTTTTTGGGTTACTTTCCAACAGCAACAATGGTGTTGTTTCAGTTTGTATTTGCTGCAATTACGCCTATTTTGATCGGGGGTGCGCTTTTGGGGAGAATGAATTTTGTTGCATGGATGATTTTTGTGCCTCTTTGGCATACTTTTTCGTATACAATTGGTGCTTTTAGCATTTGGAACCCAAATGGCTGGTTGGCAAAGCTTGGAGTCATTGATTTTGCTGGAGGATTTGTTATTCATCTCTCCTCAGGTGTAGCTGGATTCACTGCTGCGTATTGGGTAATTTATTAACCTCTGATCTTTTCGTTTATTGATACGTGGTACTCTACTAGCTTTGACACGTACTGTATACACACACTCGCCTGAGGTTTGATTGCTTATTACCTAGTTCAATATTGTCGAGTCTAGTGTAGCAAGCTTGCCTTTAATTCACACAACTCAAGATGACACCAAGTTGATCATTGCTTGATCTTAACATAAACTCATGAATTAAGTTGATGTAAGTATGGACGAGGGACATATAATTTGACCTGCATGAATTCATATATAGGTGGGACCAAGAATTGACAAGGACAGAGAAAGATTCCCGCCGAACAACGTACTTCTGATGCTGGCCGGTGCCGGCTTGCTGTGGATGGGGTGGACAGGGTTCAACGGGGGAGCACCGTACGCTGCCAGCACCATTGCATCCTTGGCAGCCCTCAATACCCACGTGTGTGCTGCTACTAGCCTCCTAACTTGGTTGCTACTTGACACCATTGTTTTTGGCAAGCCTTCAGTAATTGGAGCTGTGCAGGGAATGATAACTGGTTTAGTTTGCATCACCCCAGGTGCAGGTATACTGAGAGCGATGTTTATCCCATTCTTAGCAAATTTTTGACCGTTCGCAACTGCACATGGGTCCTATTACTGTCGCAATTACTGATTACCTTATAAATAAATGACCAAAAATGCCCTTAAGAAGAATGAATTAAATGTTAAAGGTGCACATATGTCATTCTTCTTGGTCCAATCAATAAATGCACTTGGTATAGGATTGGCATATAATGGTAAAAAAATTGCTACAAAATGGATAAAAAGTGCTCCTAGACAAGGGCTAAATTTCGTGTGTGCGACTAATATATTCAGAAAATTTATTTGATTCAGGAGTTGTTCAGTGCTGGGCAGCCATTTTGATGGGCTTAATCTCTGGGAGCCTGCCTTGGTACACAATGATGGTACTCCATAACAAGTTCAACATCCTTAAACATGTTGACGACACTTTTGCGGTCTTCCACAGCCATGCCATAGCAGGAAGTTTAGGTGGAATTCTCACCGGCTTTTTCGCAGTGCCTAAGCTCAGCAGACTGTTTTTCCAGGTGCCAGATTGGGAAAAGTATATTGGGCTAGCTTATGGTCTCCAAACTGGAAGAACTTCGGCTGGGCTTAAACAAATGGGGATTCAACTTATCGGGATTGTTTTCATAGTGTCTCTTAATATAGTTACCACAAGCTTGATTTGTTTGTTCATAAAGTTGATAGTTCCACTTAGGTTAAGTGAAGAGGAATTGAGAATTGGCGATGATGCTGTGCATGGAGAAGAAGCATATGCTTTGTGGGTCGATGGGGATAGATTCGAGAATGCCAAGAGTAATTCAATTTATGATGTTGATGAATACCCGTCGATCATGTCCAAGAATGCTAGTGAACTGCAAATGGTGTAATGTAGAGTACTACATATAACAAGCACATGATCTGTAGAGAAAGCATAAAAGTTGCACATGTGCATGTTTGTCTTAAAGAAGATAAAGACATGTTCTCTTTATCATTTTCAAGACGTTTTCTGTTTTCGATTTTTCAAAATAGTGAAAACGCGTTCTTTCCTATTTTCAAAAACGCATTTTTGAAAACAAGTTACAAATTTACAAAGAAAACCCAAAACGACAAGTCGTTTTAAGTGTTTTCAATTATAATCAGTCAAATTTTTCAAAACGCGTTTTGGGTGTTTTCAAAACAATTTTTCAAAATGTCAAAAAGAACACAATTTTAACAATCTCAAAATGGACTCTCAAAACCAAAACCGAAAATGAATTCAAAATTCAAAACACAAAATTGAAACACAAAGAGAACAGCCCGTAAAATATTGACGAGACATCATTTTTTTGGTTCACTTGGCCCCTATCTAGGACCTTGTAATTGAATAAGAAATTCATGAATTGAGAAAAATAATTAATTTCATCTGAAATAAATGCATGGAAAAAGGATTCATGGGCATACATGAAATCGAAAAGATTTAGAACGTGTATGAGCTTAGAAACTTAAAATTTATGGAATTTATTTAAGCATATTTTGGAGTTGTTTATAATAGGTGTTAGCGCCCGTTTGGCCCACATTAAATTTATAATACATTTTTCTCTCTTCTTTTTAACCACATATTCTCCAATAAAATAATATTACACATAATAAAAATGATTCATTCTTTTTCAACCACACATTCTCTAAAAAAATACTATTCCAAAAATTATAACATCAAATAATGGGTGTCAAACGAGGGCTTAATGGAAATGAGTGATAAATAAGTGAATAGTATTTATGCGTTCCACGAAATTTGTGAATAAAAATATAATTTGATCGATTATAAATAAATTATAAACAATGCCAAATATGTTGGTGCATAAAATCACATAAATAATATAAAGAAATACTTTTAATGTTTTAAATTAGGTAGATTTATTCTAACAAAACGAGCCTTGACAAATAGTACTCGCGTTTAATTTAAGAGAAAATTGAAGATTGGCAAAATATTCGATCCCGTCACACACCAAGTGGGATGGATATTCCCCTGCTCCACCGTGGAATTGAGCGGACGGAGAACATGCCCGTCCCCATCCCAAATCTTGTTTTTTATTTCATTTCATTTTTATAAAGGGTTTGTTCGAGTTTTATTTTTTGGAAAAATAGATTTTATAATAATAAATTTTCTTACATGTAAAATTATTTTATTGAGAGCATTTGTTATTATAAACGAATTTTGTAAATATGAATTTTAAAGAATAGGGCATAAATGGGGGGTAAATTTAAATTGTGTGTAATATTGGTGCCATTATACTTTAATTTTTTTTGACCGAGTTGCTCAATACGGAGGAGTAGTTCCTATATATAAATTGAAAATATATGATGGTCCAAATTAGTATTATTAAAACTTGGTGGGTGCAAATATAATTTCTGAAAATAAGGGCGACAAACAGGCTTAAGGGTTTTGAATTTGCTCGTTCAATATCTTACTCCCCTACAGTTGACGAAAAGACTGCAAAGAACACGGCGTGAAGAAAAAACAAAAGGGGCGACCAATTTGGACGCAGCAATTGTACACAGTATTGGAAACTTCGTCTCACCAGGTTTTTTTCGGATCCGTCTTTCAATTTTGTTTTGTACTGCTAAATTCGCGCATATTGAATTGCTTTAGTTTCTGCCTTTGCTTTTGGGAATTTATAGAATTCAAAATTAGGATTTGTGGAGAATTAAAATATTTTTTTTTTGTCCGGTGATTTTAATTTTACTGTTTTGAGAACTGGATTTTAGGGTTTAGGATTAATGTTCTTTTGCATATTAGTACAATTTATGAATAATTATATAGAAAGGACCGGAACAGTATGTAATCTTATCCCTTACATTTGACCTCTACAATATCACCTTTGAAACTAGGTGTCAAGGACCGCAACTTTACTTAAGCCCATTGACCCAATCGCAACTGCAGTTTGCCCAACTTCGACCGCATATTGTAAATATTAATTCAAGTTTGAGTTGTAATTTTCTTTCCATCGTAATAGTTGTTTCAATTGTAAAATAGCTCTGATATTGGTAAACGTTTAGAACTTGTATGGGAGGGATTAAAATCANACACCTAAATTGGAACACCTAAGGCAAACAAAAGCTCCAAAATTCAGCTTACACAAATTCAAAACTGAATTGTTAAAAGTTAGAGCTTGTTTGGGAGGGATTAAAATCAGATTAAAATTGAAAATATAACCATTATTGTTGACTTTTATTAGACGAGTGGGACCCAATAACGGCTATATTTTCAATTTTAATTTGATTAAAAGCTCTCTCAAACAAGGCCTTAGTATGATTCCTCGTCATTTAAACGTCTACTCCTATCACTTAGGTTTTTGTTCCGCAAGCTATTATAGGGGGTATTAGTCTTTCAAACAATCTTTCAAGATTTCTGGTGTTCGCCCACTGCACCAGCAATTATAATTTCCTGCTTTCATCAATTGTAATTTTTAGTTTTCAAGCAATCAATGATCAATTTACTTTCATTGCATTTCAATTTCATGTTGCAAGGTTTTCACAGATTGTAATCAAATTTTCTTTCGTCCTGAAACGATCGAGAGAAGGCTGAAGGTAGTCTAGTAGAGCAGACTACTGCCGCACGGTGTTCCTTTCTGAGCCAAGAAGAAAGGCACCCCGTGAAAGTTGGTATCAGAGTTGCGGTTCACGTCCCTCAATAAGAAAGCTATGGAAGCTATGGATCCAATTCAATCGAACACCGCAGAAGTCGTAGATCCTCACAAGAGGAATACGAAACAACGCGTGGATGCTCTTGAGATGACAACTACTAGGTTGTGCTATGGCGTGGATAGCCTCGAGGAAAAAGTCGAGGTGGCAGAGACGAAAATTCGTAGATTACACATCCAATTGGATGAAAGCCGAAGGGCTTGCACAGCAATGAATGAAACTGTTGCTATC